ACCACGGCATGGAAGTGAAAACATAGTGTACCAATCATGCCTACTTTAAAGGTCGAACAGGGACTGTTTTCAAATTCCTGCTATTTAAAATTGACTGAGAAAAGAGGGGGCGGTGAGCTGATCTAATCAAGTGTGGGGGACTATCCATGCGGAAGGAACTTTTACACTCGGTTGGTCCGCTTTTTTCCGTTCCTTTTCCGTTCTTTTCGGTCCTTTTAATGCCCTTCTAACTAGGGAAAAGCTCTCCAAATTTGAGCATGTCCTCCTTATCGTCCTTACCATACTCTTACGTAACTCCTTGTCGTTGATCGATAAGGCTTATCTCTTTGGGTCGATATTTGGCAAATTTGGTTAGTTCTCATGCGCGCAATAGACCGACCAACCTAGGTGACCGCGTCACATGAAAGATACACCGCCAGGTGTGTTTGATAGGAGAAGAGACGAGCGCCGAAGATTTACGATCCTTATATGTACCCGCCGGGAAAGTCTTCATGATTTATCGCGTATAAATGAATTGTGGAGAGATGATGATTAGTCTACTGATTGGACAAGGTCATCACATCACACCACAATGAGAACGCGTCGTTCGCCGTTGAATGACGCATAATAAGTTGCGATTTCGAGGAATTGGCGTTCGTCTCTTTTGTATTCAAGAAGAGCCTTGACGGCTCGAATTGGATCTGAATTTCATTAGCCGATGTTTACATTGAACGAAGTTTTTCGCATTACTACTCAGCCGGAAATGTTCGGCAACAATTCTCGCGCACTAGTTATTCGTGTGTGAAAGTACGAGGATTGCGGGGAATGAATCAGCTGGATGCATCAACGAAATGAGGCTGGACCACTGCGGCGATACTGAAGCGAGTCATGCAGCGGTCTCTTTCATGCCAGCTCGCAGCCATTGTGTATTCTTTTGAGGGAAATCCGATTAGCGCCAAATCAACGGCTTTTTGCCGCGCCACGGATTGTTTGTTATTTGAGACGATCCGACGACGATGGGGTAGAAAGCACCGACGGCCAGGTCACCTTCGGTCAGCTGCTACTGTGTTTGGAAAGCGATCGTTTGCGTTTCTTTCGGACGCGGGTCTCCAATGTCGGTGGATGGCCGCCAAAACAATGGCCAAAAGGGTGCGAACAGTGTTTGTGAGCTATGACAGCCGATCGATCATACTTTGCGTAGTTTCGGGCGCCAGTTTTGAGAGAGGAGTTCTTGGAAGCAAGATGGTTATCCTATGGCTACAAAAAAGAACTAAACAAGATTTACTTCGTTTTGGGACTCCACAGTTGAACCGAGATGGCGTATCAGGCCCATTTTCTATGGCGAAATTGATGCTTCTTTTGAAATAGTGGTTAGGGCTATTCACTTTGGTAATGGGCTTTTTTCCCGTAAAATGGACGGAAAGCTCATTGGAGAAGTGAACGGCTCCTGCTCCAGGCCCCTCCTCTGAGAATCGGATATCTCGCCCCAGAGTAAACTTTCCACTTGAGCTGCTGTTTAGCAAGAGGTCGATTCAAAATTTTCATGTGGCGAGTAACCACTCCAATTAAGCGAATCACATTCGGATGTGCAAATTGTCCCATAATTGACGCCTCCAGCAAAAAGTCGGCCTTCGCTTTGGGGCTGCTGCCGGGTTTCAGTGTCTTGATAGCCACTACGTCAATCTGAACGGAGGACATTGAAATTCATATCCCAACGACCAGAAAATAAACTTCAGAACGGTCAATCAATAACTACGAGTGTTACCCTCATTGTCGAAGATACTATTG